TTGGCAAATTATAGTCCTTGGCAAAGTATAGTCCTGGCAAATTAAATTCTTCTCAACCTCTCATATTACCTATTCGTCCAATGGTGAGGATTTTTGTCTTATTAATGATCAATGTTGAGATATATTCTATATTGGATGCTACCGGCTTTGATCATCTTAACTAACAGCTTTAATTCTTACAACTTTCTGCCGGCAAGGTTGTTGTCGATAATGAGCCTGTTTCCAATCCTAATGCCACATTTATATTCATGTAGTTCAGCTTCTCTAATTATAGAAAGGATACAACCCTTACAGATAACTTTGCTGATTTTAACCCTACAGTATTCCCTTGTTATGTTCGTTCATACAACTGCTTCTTAGACTCAGTACAGGTTTTCCATGAGTATGATTAAATATTCTGGAATTCCCATTGTCCTCAATGTTGTCCACAGTATTATGACCTGAATCACTAAATGCCTTCTTGTGGTCAATAAAACACAGCTAAACATCTTTCTAGCATTGCCTCATTTCAGCCATGAGCCATCTTACACCAGCAGTGACACCCCTTGTTCTGAATCCAGTTTGAGGCGAGCTCTGGTGGCCTAGTGGCAAGAAGCTGTACTGCAATCCCAGAGATGCACAGTTCAAATCCACCAGATGCTTTGCTGGAGAAGGAGGAATAATCTCCTCCTGTACCAGTCAGATCTGATTTGATGCTACACACACACCCACAAAATAATAAAACAAAATAAAAAAAAACCCAATGAAAAAACCTGAATCCAGTTTGAATTTCTAGAAGTTCCACATTGAGGTACTATTTCAGCTGCTTTAGAGTAATCTTAAGCAAAATTTTTCTCATGATATCAATAATGTTGTTTGATAATTTATGCATCCTATTGGGTTACATGTTTTGTTTGTTTTTTGAATAAGAACAAATAAAAATATCTTTCTGTTGATTGATCTGTTAGCTATCTTCCAAATTTCTTGGCGTGGAAAAGTGAATACCTCCAGTGTTACATCTGTTTGCTGAAACACCTTGACTGGTATTTCATCAATCCCTGGGGCCTTGTTTCTTCCAAAGCCTTCAATGTAATTTGGACTTCATCCCTTAGGACCTCTGGCCCTAGGTCAAATGCTACTTCATTGTTGACCAGTTGTTCTTGGTACAGTGACTCTATGGTTCCCTCTTCTTTTGGGGATTCCTGCATCATTAAATATTTTGTTCATAGAATCCTTCAGTCCTGTAACTCAAAGCTTGAACTTATTCTTCAGTTCTCTTGGCTTGAGAAATGTTGACGGTGTTCTTCCCATTTGGTTTCCTAACTCCAGGTCTTTTCATATCTCACAACACCTTCCTTTGTCTTTACCTGCCCTTTGAAATCTTCTGCTCAATTCTCCTATATTATTTCTTCCCTTTGTTTTGATTTCTCTAAGTTAAACACTAAGTTTCAGAGGCCTTTCCAACATCCGTTTTGGTCTTTCTTTCTTGTCTTTTTAATGATCTTGTGCTTTCTTCATGGACAATGTCCTTAATGTCATCACACAACCCATCTGGTTTCAGACATCTTCAAGGCATCAAGTCTATTCAGTTGGGATAAAGTCACATGTTGGCTCTTGTGGACTTCTTACATTTTTTTTTTAGTTTCAGTTTGAATTTGCATATGGGTAATTGATGGTAGGTTCTGTGTTGGCCTCTGGCCTAGTTTTGATTGCTGATCCTAAGCTTCTCCTCTCTCGCTTTACACAGATTTAAGCAATCTGATTCCTCTATGTATATTCCTGTATCCCATTCAAGTGAGGTCCATGTGTATAGTCACTGTTGTTGTTGTAATGTGTCATTGAGTCACCTGTGACTCACAGTGACCCTATGTACAACAGCCCTAAACCCTGCTCTATCCTGTGCCAATCTCATTGTCTCTGACACACCCATCCCCATGACCCCAGTCACTGAATCAATCCACCTCATAGAGGGTCTTCCCCTCCTGTGCTGTCCCTCAACCCTCCCAAGCATGACGTCCCTCTCCGAGGACTGGTCCCTCCTTGCAACATGTCCAAAATGTGTCAGATGGAGCTCCAGAATCCTTGTCTCCAAGGAACAGCCTGGTTTCATCTTTTCCAGGATGAACCTGTTTGTTCTCCCAGCAGTCCATGGTATATTCAACATTCTTCTCCAACACTACAGCTCAAAAGCATCAATTCTCCTTCTATAATTTCCAGCTATTGTCTAGCTCTCTGATGCATAGGAAGTAATTGCAAAGACTATGGCCTGGATCAGGTGCACCTTAGTCTCCAGGCTGATATCGTTGCTCTTCATTAATTTGGAGAGGTCTCTGACAGCAGACTTCCCCAATGCAATTTGTCTTTTAATTTCCTGGCTGCTGGTACCAAAAGTGTTGATTGTGGAGCCAAGCAAACTAAAGCTGTTAATAATCTCAATCTCTTCATCATCTATCATGATGCTGTCAATCGGCTCAGTGGTGAAAAATCTTTGTTTTCTTGATGTTGAGTTTCAATCCATATTGAAGTCTGTAGTCCTTAACCTTCTGCAACAAGTGCTTCAGATATTCCTCAGTTTCAGCAAGCAGGGTTGTGTTAATTTAGTTTTTAAAAGGTGTTTGCAATGAATAAATAACTAAGTGTACAAAATTCTATTATGTGACCTCTGGCTTTTTCTGTCACAAGAACCTATTTTCCAATTTTGAGTTTTTATTTTCAACATTTGCCTCCCAGTGATTTATTATTATTAATGAATCTTGATTATATATGTTTGATCAATTTCAGACTGCAAATTTCAGTTGTTGTTGATTGCCTTTGAGTTGAGCACGACTCACAGCAACCCTATGAACAAAAGGCCTGAAGCCCCTCTACAACCATTGACATTTATCAAAGTTCATAGAGTTTCCAGAGGCATATTGGTGAGGAAGTGAATACATTAATTCTTATTATCCATTAACTACTATTTCTTAGGATACAGAAGTACTATAAATGAAATTATGTTGTAAAATCTGTGTATACTGAATTATGTTGTTAGTTACAGTGTTATTACTATTTCATAGTAGCTAAGCAGATCCTTTACTCCTCCTTTTCCTTAACTTACTGTTTTAATTTCCAACAGGTTCTTGAAGTTGCACAAATACTAATTATCACAAAATTGTAGTAAAAATACCAGAAAATTTACAAAATCGGTGACTAAAAATGCCATCAGCAACAAAACCCAACAGAAAACGCCTGTAGAATGAACAAATGAAACCACAGTGATTCTAAGCATTATCATAATTGAGCAATATTGAAAACTTGGACTGGAGGGCATTTTAGAAGGTTCAAAGGGAAAATCAGCATAGAGTTTTAGCCTTGTTGGTATACTGATATATGTAAGCTTGGCTAACAAAAAATGTTTTGTGGTTTATTTTTTGTTTTTTATAACTAACTGTTGTTGTTTTTGATTGTCTTTGAGTTGAGCACGACTTATAGTGACCCTATGAATAAAAAGCCTGAAGCCCCTCTACAACTATCGCCATTTATCAAAGTTTATAGAGTTTCCAGAGGCATGTTGTTTAGGAAGTGGATGCCTCTCCTGCTTCCAATATCACTAACTGCAGGAATATTTTTGTAAAATGTAGTATGTTTCTACTGAAACATTACCCCAAAATTCTAGAGACCAAACAGCTATGAGATACCATCTCATTCCAGCAACAATGACAAAGTTCAGCCAGCCAGCAAACAACAAATGCTGATGATGTTGTGGAGAGAATGGAACTCACCATTGTGGGTGGGAATGCCAAATGGTACAGCCACCATGGAAGGCGGTCTGGCGCTTTCTCGTAAAGTTGGAAATAGAAATACTATGTGACTCAGCTTCGTCTGACATACTTTGGGCTTGTTGCAAGGAGGGACTGGTCCTTGGAGAGGGACATCATGTTTGGGAGAGTGGAGGGACAGTGCAGGAGAGGAAGACCCTCGATGAGATGGACTGATTCTGTGAGTGGAGTGGTGGGCATGAATGTGTTGGAGACAGCGAGGTTGGCACAGGATAGAACAGCGTTTAGGGCTCTTGTACATAGGGTCGCTATGAGTCGCAAACAACTCGATGGCACAGAACAACAACAACAACAACGTGACTCAACAATTCCACCACTGAGAATATACCCTAAAGAAACCAGAACTACTGTCCAAACAGATATATGCACATCCACGTTTATTGCTGCATTATTCACAGTAACAAAGAGATGGAAGTAACCCAAGTGCCCATCAACAAGTGAATGGATAGAAAAACTATGGAACAGTCCATAATGGAATATTATACAGCACTGAAAACCAATGAGCTTGTAAACCATTACACAACATGGGGGAGCCTGGAAGACATTGCACTGAGTGAAATACCTCAGTCACAAAAGGAAAAACACTGCATAACACCACTGTTATAAAATAGGATAGACTTGGGGAGGATGGGGGACAGATGGGAAAAGAGCGGATAGAAAACATTGCATTAGATCAGATGAGGGAAGAATTATCTGGAATGAGTATAAGATTAGGCACTATATGTATGACAACAATCTGGAGCAAGGGGTGCATTGCATTTGGGTTGGGGGGGAAGAGAAAAGAGGGAGATAATGTTCAATAATGAGAAAAAATATAAATATTATTAGAAAAAAATTCTAGAGAGTTCTTCTGGTTTCCTTCCCTCTGAGAATGTTGTCTGGTGTAGTGTGTTCCTCTCCCCTCCCTTGATACTTAGTCATTATTTTTTTTCCCTAAGCTCAACTTGCACTATAGGGCCTGATCCCCGCCCAAGGCAAAGATCAAAAGTACCTTTTGTTTGAGAATTGAGCAGCAGTTATCTCAGCAAATGCTACTCATTCATTATCGTCCTTGTGAGAAAATCATTGGTTCATGCTTCTACACATGTGCGAGAGGTCATGCCCTCTTGAAGCAGATTTTGTGCCTGGCCTTCTTCCATAGACCATATTACACAAGCTCACTCTCCAAGCAGCAAGTTGCTCTGGGCTGCTGTGAGCTCCCCAATGGCGCCTGCAGCTCTGACGGGCTTCCTTGCCCTGTGTGCCTGGCTTCTGCTGACATCTGGCTTTGCTGGAGCCGGCAAGCTGCTGGTTGTACCCATGAGCGGGAGTCACTGGCTCAGCATGCGTGTCGTGGTGGAGAAACTCAGCCAGAGGGGGCACGAGGTGGTGGTGGTCATGCCCGAGGTGGGTTGGCACCTGGACAAATCCCCCAACTACACAGTGAAGACTTACTCAACTTCTTACTCGCTGGAGGACCTGAGTCGTGAGTTCTCCCTCTTTGCTGATAATCACTGGAAAACTCAAGAGTCAGAGTTATTCTTTTTATTTGATAACTCAGCCAGCCGTGTGTTTGAATTCTTTTTTTCCCATTGTAAGAGTCTGTTCGGTGACATGAACTTAGTAGAGTTCATAAGAGACAGTGCTTTTGATGCAGTGTTGACAGATCCTTTTGATATGTGTGGCTTGATTGTGGCCAAGTATTTCTCACTCCCATCTGTGGTCTTCGCCAGGGGAGCATTTTGTCATTACCTTGATGAAGGCACGCAGGCCCCTAGCCCAATTTCTTATGTTCCCAGGTCTTTCCTAAGGCTCTCAGACAACATGACCTTCTGGGAGAGAGTAAGAAACCAAATCTTCTTTTTGGAGGAGCACTTGTTTTGTCATTATTTTGTCAAAGGTGCTTTAGAAATTGCCTCTGAGATTTTGCAACAGCCAGTCACAGCATATGACCTCCACAGCCACACGTCAATTTGGTTGTTGCGAACTGACTTTGTTTTGGACTACCCCAAGCCTGTGATGCCCAACATGGTCTTCGTAGGAGGCATCAACTGTGAGCAGAGAAAGCCTCTGAGCAAGGTGAGTCACCTCTCCTTGAGCCCCTAAAGGACAATCTGGATAGGGCCACCCAAAATTCACGTCTTACTCCTCTGGAATTTGGCATTTACATTTGTCACACTTGTAATTTATATCTTGTTTATTGATTTGTGCTGAGTTCTTTAATTGTTGGTTAATATATTTTAGAAAGTATTGCTCTTGGCAAGCTCTTGTTGTTATGTGCTACCCAATCAGAACTAAGTCATCACCGACCCTCTAGTTTTCAGAGGCAATAGATGATGTGGCAGAAGATTTTTCCATCTTTCTCACCAAGAGCACCTGGTGGATTTGAAATGTGTGCCTTTGGGTTGGCAGTACAACTTCTTAACTCTAGGCCACCAGAGCTCCTTTGATATGTATATGGATATAATTCATGGCTTTTCAAGTTACGCTTTTTAATACTGATATCTAGCACATTTTTTATTTTTATTTAATTTTATTATTTTGTGTGTGTGTTCCGTCAAATTGAATATGACTGGTACAGGAGGAGATTACCCCTCCTTCTCCTGCAGAGCTTCTGGCGGATCTGAACCGCTCACCTCTGGGATTGCAGTGCACCTTCTTGCCATTAGGCCACCAGAGCTCCCTTGCACATTTCTTTTTAAATGATGATTTGATTGAAAGTTGACAAAGTATATCTGTTTTTCAATGAATAATGCACTAATATTTTGATTTATAACATCATAATACTCATATTGTCTGATCATCTACTTCTATATTTTTTTATTTTGATCATCTTAATGAATGTTCACTATTTATTGTGTTGTCTTGGGAAAGTCTGCAATTAGAGACCTCTCCAATTTATTGAGTAGTATTGATGTCAGTTTGAGGACTAAGGTGCATCTGAATCAGTACATGGTCTCTCTGATCACTTCTATGCATCTGAGAGCTGGACAATGAATAGGGATGACAGAAGAATGGATGCCTTTGAATTGTGGCATTGGAGAAGAGCACTGAGCATTCCATGGATTGCCAAAAAGAGTGAACTAATATATGGGAGAGGATGTAGCCAGAGTGCTCTTTGGAGGCAAGGATGACGAGGCTTCGCTCACCTCACATACTTCGGGCATGTTGCTAGGAGGACCCATTACTTGGAGGGGGACTTGATGCTTGGAAAGGTAGAGGGTCAGCGAAAGAAAGGATGACCCCTTGACCAGGTGGGCTGACACGGTGACTTCCACAATGGGCTCTAATGTGTCAGAAAGTATGAGGATGGCACAGGATAGGACAGGGTTCAGATCTGTTCTATGGATCGTACTTTAATCAAGGACACCTAACAGCAGCAGCAACAACAACAATAACAACAACAATGACAACAACAACAACATCTCTTTATCAGTTTTTACTCTCCTGTTTCTCCTTCTGTGGTAACCATATTAAAATGATTATGTGTGTAAACCTTTATGTAGATTTTTCTTTCTTTTTTTTCTATAATTATATTTTATTAATTTTTATAAAAATATGGAACGCTTCACGAATTTGCATGTCATCCTTGCGCAGGGGCCATGCTAATCTTCTCTGTATCGTTCCAATTTTAGTATATGTGCTGCCGAAGCGAGCACTATGTAGATTTTTCTAATAGCAATCTCATAGAACATTTGTCTTTTTGTGACTTACTTACTTCACTCAGTGTAATGTCCTCTAGGGAACTCTGGTCACTTAGTGGTCGGGAGCTTCACTGACAACCCAAAGGCTTGCAATTCGAATCCAGCATCTCTCTGTGGGAGAAAGATGGGTAATCTCCTCTTGTTCGAATTACACCCTCTGAAAATCCACTGAACGGTCAGCTGTGAATTAGTTCTAACTCAAAGGTACACAGCAACAATCATGTCCTTTAGAGTTATCCACGTTATGCAGTGTTTAGAGAGTTCCATGTTGTTTTTCAGGGTTGCATAGTACTCCACAGTGCAGCACATTTTTTTTGCAATCATTACATAAAATGATTTACCTTGGGCGCCCATGGTTCAGTCGATACTGATAGCTATTTAGGCTTCTTCCACTACTTACCTTTATAAAAAGATTGTTCTTAAGATTCTTATACAGGTCCTTTGTCATTGTTATTGAGTCAACTATGATTCCTAGCGACCCTATAAAGAACAGATCTGAAACATGCCCTACCCTGTACCACCCTCACAATCTCTGATACTCTCCAGCTCATTGGTACAGTCTGGTGTCAATTCATCTTGTGCTGTTCATAAGGTCACTAGGAGTCATACCTGATTCAATGGCACCTAACAAGAACAAGATTTTCTAGATATCTAAGAGTATTTGCAATAATGATGTCACTCACTAGTTATGCCACTTTTCTCCACCAGAACATACAACTTCTTCCACTTTTGAATAACCATGTTGGTCCAGCTAGTTGGAACTGGAGTGCAATCGCTTGCAAAGGAAAAAACCTTGGCAAATCCTGGAATAAGATTCCAGCCAAGCTGTGATCTGACCAAAATACTATTTTAAGGGTCTTGAGTCACATGGCTGTGCCCACTCTGCCTATCAAGATCCTGTTTTGTTAAGCAAGTATTTTTATATATTGGAAATTTATGTCTACTCAAACATCTGTCAGTCTATAGTCTTCTTATTGCCTTTCAATAATTTTTTACTCAAAGCTACTCTGATATATAATAAAACCTCAAACTCAGTGTGTTGGAGTTGTCCTTCCAGTAAGTTTTCAGGAGGCTGTAACTAGCACAGGAGGAGATGGTCTCACGGAGTCGCTGGTGACCTGGAATGGCTGGGAGATGTTGTTGAGGGTTAGCAAATGCAACATCACATGTACTGCATTCCCTCTATGATCGATGGCACGGGAATAAACGCAGCAGTTCCTTGTTATTCATGGGGTATATATTCTAAGATCCTAATGCATGAGATCCTGGGTAGTTCCAAATCACATATTTACTGTTTTCACCTATACAAACATTTCCTAGTAAGGTTTAATTGATAAATTAGTACAGGAAGAGATTAGCAGCAATACTTAATGAGCAGACAGCATATATAGTGTGGGTACTTTGGACAAAGGTCCAAACTTTGCAGATATGATGGCGTGGACCAGCCTGAGATTTTATCAAATTACTCCTTTAACATTTCCAGACCGCTGTTGATACCCTGTAACTGAAAGCATGAAAAACTGCAGATAAGGGAGGAATTACTTTCTCTCTTCTCTCTCCTCTCTCCTGCTCTCTCTCTCCTCCTCTCTCCTCCCTCCTCCTCTCTCCCCTCTCTCTCCTCTCTCCTCTCTCCTCCCTCCTCCTCTCTCTTCTCTCTTCCCTCCTCCCTCCTCCCTCCTCCTCTCTCCTCTCTCCTCTTCTCTCTTTTCTCCTTTCTCCTACTCTCACCTCTCTCCTCCTCTCTCCTGTGTGTGTGTGTTTCAGGGAAAGATATGTTAGATGTACCATCAAAATATAAATTCATAGTCAATCTATGTACAATAGAACAAACTCCTGCCTTATTCTTGCACTATCCTTGCTTCTAAAGAGCACTCTTTAGAGTGCATTTTCTCGAAGACAAATTTGTTCTTCTGGCAGTCCATGAGATATTCAATACTCTTCACCAACATCACAATAAAGAGATCTAGTCTTCTTTAGTCTTTGTTATTCTTGTCCAGCTTTCACATGCATGTGAAGCAATAGGAAATATCACTTGGATCAGGAATACCTTAGTCCTTTAACTGACATTCTTGCTCTTTAGCCTTTAAAAGAGGTCTTTGGCAGCACATCTGCCCAATGTAATATAACATCTACTTGCCTGACTGCAAATACCATGAATGTAGATTAATGTGAAATGAAATCCTTGAAAATGTCCATCTTTTCTCCATTTTTCATGATGTTTCTTACTGATCCAGTTGTAAGGATTTTTGCTTTCTTTTTTTTAAAAAAAATAGTCGTTATAGCACATTTTCTCCCTCCTTCCCTCACTCTCCCCTATACCCTACAGTGTCCCCCTTGTTTCAAACTGTTCTCATACATATAATGTATAATCATATACTCCTTTTAAATAGTTCTTCCTTTAATCTGTTCCAATGCTGTGTTTGTTATCTATCTACCCCTTCCCCATTCCCTCTCCAACCTTACCAAGTCTGCCCTATTTTAGAACAGCTGTGTTATGCAGTATTTATCCTTTTGTGATGGAGATGTTTAACTTAGCATAATGCCTTTAAGGTTCCCCCACGTTATATAATGTTTTCCTATTTCATTGTTTTTCAATGCTGCATAATATTCCATTGTGTGGATGTAACATAGTTTTTCTATCGATTTCTTTATTGATGGGCACTTGAATTGCTTTGTTATTGTAAATAACGCATTAGTAGACATGGATGTGCATATATCTGTTTGAGTTGTGGCTCTGGTTTCTTTGCGATATATTCCTAGCAGTCAATTGCTGGGTCAAATGATATTTCTATTTCCAACTTTGTGAGAAAGTGCTAGACTGCCGCCTTTCATAGTCGTTGTACTAATTTACATTCCCACCAGCAGTGAATAAAGAGTTCCAGTATCTACACAACCTTGCCAGTGTTTATTGTTTGCTGCCTGGTTGAACTTTGCTATTGTTGCTAGAATGAGAGGGTATCACATAGTTGTTTTGATTTGTAATTAATAGTTAGGGTTTTTGATAATTTCTTCATTAGTCTTTTTGCCATCTGAATGTCCTCTTTGGTGAAGTACCTGTCCATATCATGTGCTCATTTTGTGATTGTGTTGTTTTAATTTTTCCTGTCAAGGTTCTGCAGTATTCTATAAATTTTAGATACAAGTCCCTTATCAAATATGTCATTGCCAAATAGTCTTTCCCAGTCCGTGGGTTCCTTTTTTACCCTATAGGAGAAGTTTTTTTATGTGCACAGGGATTTGATTCTTAGAAGGTCTTATTTGTCTATTTTATTCTCTCCTTGTTGTAGGTTTCTTATTATGTTTGGAAGATTGTTCATGCTGTAGATTAGGGCTTCTAGAGTTCTTCCTAGCTTTTATCTGATGACTCTTAAAATATTTCATTTTACTTCTAGGTCCCTGACC